TCATTAGTGTTCAAAGCCTCAAATCTGTTCCTGAGATGGTTCTGAAATTCAGGTGGGATAGACTCAAGGTCATATTTTGGTTGCCTCGGATTTGGTCAGAAAAATCTGTTAATTGATAAAAAAGATCCCAAAGAAACTGCCCAACCAGGGACCCCTGGGCTGTCATGTTGGTGGTTCTCATTCCATCTACTCGATTTGGCAGGCTCCCTCTATGTGAAAAGACTGTCAGAACCAAGATTGTTCTGTACCAAATGTGCTTTCTTTGTGTAGCAAAGAGTGTTTAAAGAACGTTTTCATTTAAAAAGAAAGTTTGTAAACAGTCACAAGAAAGATATAAAAGCTACCTTTAAATAGTGTTGCCAAAAAGGTCCCTCCCAACCCCTTGATCTTCCCATAGGAAATGTCTGTGAGAGATGATGAAGTTGGAGTTTAAGACGAGGGCTCTAAGAGTGCGTGGACCCTAGTCTCACAGATTTGATTTGTGTGGTGAGATAAAGAATTGTTACTGTTAGCTGCTGTCCAGTCAGCTGCACCTCTTGGTGACATTATAAACAACAGATGACAAGCCTGCATCATCCTCACCATGTCTTATACGCTCTAGCCTGTAGTTACAGTCACTGTGTTAGTCTGTGTCATTGAAGGTCATCCTCTGTTTCTCTGGTCCCTCCCTTTCCCAACATGATACTATGTTCCAAGGACTGGGCCCTCCTGACAAAGTGACCAAAGTACATAAGGAAGTTTCTCCATCTTGGCCTTTAAGGAATAGTCTGGCTGCACTGTTCTCTGAGATTTGTTTATTCTTTTGACAGTCTGTGTGTGGTACTCTTCTCCTGCACTGTAATTCAAAGGCATCCGTTCTTTAGCTTTCCTTTTGAATTGGCCAACTTTCAGATGCACAGGAATTAATTGCAAAATAGACACTGTTTATACAGTGCAAGGGTCCTGTGTTGAGCACTGTATCTGACCTTTACCAACTTCACAGAGGGCAGCTGTCCCCATCCATAGCTTTAAAAACATAAAACCATTTCCCGTGAGGTCAGACATACCCTCCACTGTCCCATAGCGCTTTTCTGTTCATCTCATCACCAATCTTACTGCTTTGTTGGGTCCAAAATCTGATGTAATAGCTTACAGACCACACAGAACCATATTGGAGGAGTTAAAGGTTATAATCCAGATTAATAACAGAATATAGTCAAGACAGCTCCAGGTATATATACACAGGGACTTCAGCCTTAAGCCTCGAGGCTCCTAAGTATTCCCAGGTTCTCGGTCCTGCCAAAATTGGCTTCCCTCCCCAGTTGTCCAACAGAGTTCACAGTCCTACCATTATCGGTGACCTATCCCTCCAAGCCCCATCTCACGTCATTTCTCCAGTTCAGCTATGGCGGCTGCTGCCATCTTAAAAGTGTGTCCTACATTTCCCTGCCTCCTCTGGGATGGGGAAAATCTCTTTCCTCTTCTCTGGTACGGGAGGATTCCAGTTCTTCTGGCTAGAGCTGTTCAATTTATTGGCAAAACTAGCCAGGCTTCTGGTAGTTGTTTAGACTGGCCAATCCCCTTGTGGAATGGTAGATAGCCAGTCCCTTGTGGATAAACTAACATGCCTCGTTTGT